AAATCTTTAGTCCCTACTTTTGGGAATATATATAATCCAACTATTCTAATAAATCAATAACTTGAATAAAAATTCTCTTTCATTCGAAATTTAAAGCCTAACACATAGGGCTGGCTGGCATGGGGTGTTTCTGAAATGTTTCAGAATCTTAAAACACCTCTTAACTTTCCTCCTTTGACTCCTAGAAATAATTGTTCAAAATTTAATCCAATCCTTGTCAAAATTCCAGCTTCAATCCTTTGATATCACTCATTTAGAAACCTTAATAAAATTTTTATCGTTATTTTAATTGAAAGTTTTCGTAGAAAATTCTGATTTCTTATGATGTAATTAACTGTGAGGGCTTGCTCTCCTAGGAGATTTAGAACTTAGATCAATTTTAAAAAATTAATTTTTCAAAAACTCAATGTTTTTTTTTTTTAAATCAAAATCAACGACGATCATTATTGACATATTTAGACAACTGATAGTAAACAACATTTTCATTCCTTTGGAAGATATATCCATTGTTATCATGACTTTAATATGAAATTAATGATATCTCATCTAGATTATAATAGTTAAATACCGATAGAACATCATTTTGATCCGTCAGGATCATATGTAGTTCTTTCCTAAATTTGACTGTCATAATCAGGGTGAAACTTTCAGTTTAGTTATCTGAACCCGTTAGGGAATGATATATATTATCTCCTCATGAGGTGATATATAGTTCATAATGACATGTTCGATTTCAAAACCGAAATTCCAGAAAATCGACTTTTCCTAAAGAAAATTAACTTTCAAAATTCCAAAGTAATTTAACTATGAGTTTTCACAATTGATAATAATGCTAACTGAAGTTGATATAAGATGCTGATTTATTTTCATTAAAAAATATATCCTTCTATCCGTTAAACTCCCCTTTCATATTACTTGCCCGTCATAACCTTGATCATGCATTCTAGAAATGCTCAATCCATAAGTTGAAAGGAAATTTTCAATGGCAATTTTGAGACTTTTAGTTGTTGTATCTAGAACATGAGAAATGCCCAAAAAAATGCTCAATTATCTAACCATTTTTATTAACAAATTGCAATACAATTGTCATTTGCTCTTTTGTAGATATGTCATGCGATTTATCAACTAAAATTGAGAAAAAAATAACACAAATTTCTTTAGTTATAAAGTTGGTAATTACAATTGACGTAGCCCTTGAATATCCTTTTAAATATCATACACTATTAATTTTAAAATTTCAAGAGCATTTTTCAGTACCACATCTTTTATACTGCTAGAAATTACACCAATTCAAATTTTTTTTTTTTTTTTTTTAAATTTAGAATACTTATCATGCCCACGAAAAACCATTCCCTATCTTTTAAAAAATCCTTTTGCAATCAATGGAAGTATTCAGTCGTGTGAGATATGCAATTATAGCTTGATCTAATTGCTTCTAAAACACAAAACCAATATGCTAAGTCTGTTCATCAAGTTTTCACAGCTTTATATAGCATTATTATGCACGTTATTTTGGCTTCCCACATGAAGGTCAAATCTATTTATTTTGTTTGTTTGTTTTTTCAATTTGAAAATTCATATTTATTAAATGCCTCCTCTTCGTTTTCTCTCCCGATGTTTGTAAGAACATAATAATATGAAACATATATTTTATCTTTACATATACTATACTCTAATCAGTCTTAGTACTTATCAAACCAAATAGTATTAATGCGTTTGTCTTTGATCCCAAATTTACCTTTCAAAATATCATGATTGTGAGGCTGAAATGACCCTCTTAGTAAATATCTTATACGAATTTTTTCTCAAATGTTAGGATTAAACTCACTAATAGAAATATGTAATCCTAAATCTGATAGAATATTTTCTACATTTAATTTCGTATTTTTTGGTAAATCTACCTTCACTCGAATGGATTTTTCCTTTTGCTCGTCATCTTTTTTTTTTTTTTTAATTCTCATCGATAGGTTTTGATGTATTTGAGAATTAGATGACCTCCTGAAATATCTCTCCATAGACGTTCAAACCTATAATTTTAAAAAAAGAGTGCAAAAAAATCATGCAATAAATTATTTTTGCATGCAGCTAATCAATTGGGTGTGTTAAATCTAGAACCAATTATTTAGAAACTTAAATCAGATTTAATCAAGCAAGGACAGACAAATTATCCTAATCAAAATCAACCAGCAAAAAGACTGTCAAGTAAAAGAAATATTAAAAAGACAAAAAAAAAAAATGCCTTGAAGTTTACTGGAGTAATATTTTAATTGGTAAAATTGAAGTAGATAAAATAATCAAGAATTTAAATCAAGATTACTTAAACAAAAATACTCGTATCTTATTATTAACAAAAATAAAAATGCCAATAGATCATAAACGAGCAAGAAAATACAATTAAAAATGTTGTAAGACAACAAAACATATCACTTAGAAGACAAAAAAAATATGCTTAAGTATATGAGATCGACTCACAATCAACCAAAATCAAGAGAATTCACTGCCTGGATCAACTTGTAGACAAGATTTACTGCCTTTTGTCATGGATTTGGTCGACTTCCATCGTTAATTGTCATGACCATGAGTACTATCATTATATCCTTCAACCTGATCATATTTAGTCTCAATCCCACAAAGGATCGGAATCTAGGGTGAAAGGTCAAAGAACTTTAATAATATAAACATCTATAATTGATCCTTCTTTATAAGCTTATTCTTTACATTCCATTTATACATATGTGAACATCTAGATTCCTAGCATTTAAAAACATTTGATCAAAAATTTGAGTTAAAAATAATTAAATTATGTAAGTATTTTGATATTTTTAGCATAAAAAGTTACTTGTTGTTGGAAAGATCGATCCTCTTATACTGAATAAGCCCTCCAAGTCTAACTAATAAGTGAACCATATTGTCAAAGAAATAAGGTGATAATACCATTTAAAGCCAACAAATTGTGTTGATATAATGTCATTTAATTTCTTTGATGCATCCAATCTCAATGTCTTAGCACATATATAGAGTTCTAAAAAATTGTGACATATCACTTAAAGTATTATGCGCATCTTTTTTTAAATATCTGCTTAATAAATCTAAAATGCAAGATTGATTACAAAATAATATAACAATCATGGTATTTTAATCTCATAAGCTTACCATTTTGAATATATTATGACATAAATTTTTTTGTTGCATATCCATCTAAGAACTTTATTGGTCTAATAATCTTGAAAAGTCATTCTTTTTTATTTTGGAGAAAGTTTATAAGAGGCTTGAAGTTTAAGATAATTCTCACATTGCTTCTGCAAAATGTATTTCATGTTTTACACATATATATTGAAGGCCGTAAATATGTTGTCTTTATATCTTTTATCTTTTCCTCTATTTTCAATAAGGTCCTTTGAATATTATCATAAATATTATTTTTAATGCACACTACATTAAGATTTTGACAAATTGAGACTCCCCTAATAAGGAAATATTAAAAAAAATTGTCTCAATTGATTCTTAGAGGCTATATTTATTGCTAGGATGCTTTTCATACTTCACATTCTTTAGTCCCTCCAATTGAGATAGTATTTTTTGTCTTGATAGAACTTTAGGTCACATTCTAATTTCATACTTATTTTTATTTACTTTTTGTACCACTTGCGCTCTTTAAATAAGAATTATATGTGACACAAGAAATCAATTTGTTTCTCAGATGTAAGAAATAAGTCTTATTATCATATATTGGATAAGCTTGTAACAATGCACTCTATGATACTGTAAAACTCAATATGTTGGAAAAATAATTTATAGTCCATGAAAGAATATGCATTTACAAGATATTTCTCCTTGTTGCACCATATGCTTTGGCACCATTCACTCATAAGTCCTTTAACTCCTCTATTAAGGGTTTGAGATACACATCAATATCTCTCCCAAGAGCATACAAACTAAAGAATGAATAGTATTTTAAACATAAACTCAAATGACACACTTCTAAGGAGAAATTTTATGGTATAAATACAACTGATTACATACTATAAGAATTAATCACAATATCAAAAGGATTTAATCTATTTGAAGCTAATCCAAGCCTTACATTACAAAAATCTTCTATAAACCAAAGAAAGTTGATGTTAAAATTCGCCTAAATTTTAGAGTCAACTAGATGTCTTAATGTATTTTTCTCCTAAAATTGGTTTTCATGAGTTTTTTTTTTTTTTTGTGACATAGATAAGCATTGTAATCAAAATTTAATACAGAAGTAGAATAACATTTTAGAAAATTTTTCTTTTCTTCTTGATCATTTAATTTCCATCTTAATAATTACATGTACTCAGAACATTCTTCCTCAGTATTGTACTCTTTCCAAAATAAAAGACAAGCATTTTGTTACAAACATGAATATTCTCACAATCATTTTCTTACAAGCATGAATATTCTCACTATGGTGGAATGAAACTAATGTTCATTCATGAATATTCTCATTCATTATTCTCACTATGCCAGAAGGTGGGTTTTTTTTATGTGAAATGGCTCTTTTTGGGGTGCTTGTAGCTTGGGCCCTTGGTTGTTATTTTTTGTGGTTATTTCCCTTTTGTTTTCCTATGTCACTTGTTTAAGAGGCCAGCAGGTGGGTAGTTTATGTGAGATAGCTTTATTGTGAGTAGTTGTAGAATGGGCCTTTTCTGTTGCTATTTAATACTGCGATTTCATTTGAGATTGTTTTATTGTTGTTTTTTAAAACAACTTTTTAGTACAAAATTTTTCACCTCGAAAAATTTTTGTACTAAAACACAATTTTTAAAAACAATAACAAAAGCCGTCTCAAGCAAAGCCTGAATGTCACTGCTTTTGATGGCTAACATTGTATGCCATAGTACATTCATGCAAAAATTTTCAAGGAATAAAAATCAATGATGAAATCTATTATTTATATAAACAGCCCAATCAGGATAAACTAATACTATATACTGAATCAAAGAACTTACAAGCCATACAAGAAACAAACAAAGTGAATAAAAAATCATAAACTACATATGAATCAATCAAATACATCGATAATATTCCACATGTATATAAATTATTAAAGCAATAGTTCTGTAACTGGCCACTGATGTACTAATGGTGATGATGCCTCTTGGCTTCCTTCTTTGCTTGCTTATTGTGGTGATGCTCGTGTAGTGCAAAACCTGCACTAGCTACTGCTGCAGTCATCGCTATCTCTTCTTTGATCTTGTGCTTATGCGCATGTTCAGGGTCTTTCTTGGCCTGATGCTTCTCGTGCTTTATTAACGTCCAAAGCATCATATAAGAGATAATAAATGAAAAAAAAAAAAGATTAATTACAAAGAAGGATCTTGAGGAACTCTTACAAGAGCATAAGCACTGGCTGCTGCCACGCCGAGTTTGCCGAGATGCTCCATGTGTTTGTGGTGCTTCAGATCCTTCTTGTAGTCGACCGTTGATGGCTTCTCGTTGTTCTCCTTATGCTGGCTGAACATGTTGTGATGGCGATGATGATGGTGTTCGAGCGACATGCTGGAGCTTAAAATCCAAAAGGCTGAAGTACTTAAATCTGAAAGGGATGAGGGAAAGAATTACAATTTTGGTGTGACTGAATTAAACAATCCTTTGGTCTTTTTATAGTATGAATCTCAAAGGTTAGAACGAGTTTATAGTTCTATATATGCTTCAGATGCAAGTAATTGTTGTTGTAATGGGGACTTGCAGTTTCTTACGCTGTGAGGCTAAGCGCGGCTTGGTCCGCGTTGTTTGTCTATTAAGAAATTCATAGGGATTGGCTGTTCTGAAAAAAAGTAGATATTGAGTTGATAAGATCATAAATTCTTGTCGGCTTAGACGTGTCAGGAATCAGGTTGTTTCCGTTGGCCGTTGAAGGATGTATAAGATCCGTTAGATGTCATAAAATTTATCTCGTTTAAAAATATTTATGTAATATTTATATCTAAAATGGTTTAAATGTTTAAATAAAAAACTATTAGTTTTGACTTTGAGATAATTTTTAGTATGTCATCAAAAGTCCATCTTCTTGATCGGATCTGAATTTTGATACATGCATGAATTGAAAACTTTCATAATTAAATTCAAGATTTTATGAATTTTCATCTATTTCCCAAAATTTTTTTAAATTTCTAAAAAAAAAAAAAAAAAAAAAAAAAATCTCATCTCGACCAAGTTATAGTCGAAGTAACACTATAGAGTCAAGAAAACAACATTTTTGCATAACTTAATATAGGCTACGGCGGAAGTTTTAACTAACAGTACTAAAATGCTTGCAATTGCTTTAAAATTGCTGCAACACTGTTGTGATTTTTGTTCGCTGCAAAGGTTTTCACAACGGTTTTGAAACCACTAGGGAAGGTAATTTGTTGCGCTAGTTATTTTTGCAACGGTTTTAATTACCACAAATATCCACCTGGAGCAATAGTTTTAATTTTTAACTGCCACTATAGCATTATACTTCCAAAAAATAGATTCTTTTGCATCGGTCACTAGGAGCAGTTTTAGAACCGCTTCTAAAACTCCTCTTTTGCACCGGTTTTAACCGGTACAATTTAAGCAATTTGCACCTGTTTTAACCGGTGCAATTACACCGGTTTAAACCGATGCTAAAGCCCCGATTTGTAATTAAATACCTAATTCCCAATTGATATCTGCGCGCTTCCTTTCTCTTTCGAACCCTAGTTCCGCCTGCGCCGTGTCTCTCTGTGTGGAGCGAATCACCGAGCGTCGCTCCTCTTCTCACACGAAGACCCTCGGACGGCCAGCCATTTTCCACTGTGAGTATCTTCCCCTTCTTCTTCTTCTTCTTCTTCTTCTTCTTTATATTATTCTCCCTCTTCATCTCATTTTTCTGAAATCTTTTTGCAGAAAATCATTTGTCTAAAGCTAGATGCCTTTTTTGCTTTTACTTTCTAATATTTCTGCATGCTTTACTGTTTTCTACACAGCTTGATGTTTCTCATGTCATTCACACTTGCTGGCAGAGAGCATAATGTTCTCTGTAGCATTTAACTTTGCTTTCTTATATCGGTTGCATCTGTCAATTTGTCTTGAAATGGACCAAATGCTTTCTTAGTTACTATTTGTTTATGTACAGAACATGCATGTTCCATTGATTAAAAAGGCATGCCCACAAGCTTTTAAATGTTCTTTATTTACGGGTAACTTTGGAAGTTGAATGCTACAGCAGTTAAGGTTAAATTTTTTGCATCATCAAAAGTAGCAACTTTGGAAGTTGATTAATGAACATGAACGGAAGAGAATTTGAGGGGCTTATTTGTTTCGAGCTTGGGTGCTTAGTTATTGTCATTATCCCACGTTAGATTGTTTGTGGCAGCAAATATAAAATTTATGGCAGCAAATATAAAATTGTTGGCAGAGGTTAGACACTGGGCCAAATTCTGGCTTTTTGATTCCTATCATGTTATCAAGAGTATAAACACAATTTGCCTATTGGTGTGGGGGGAAAACTCATCTTTGAAAACAAAATAAGATCATTAAAAATCATCTACTACATTAAATTACTTGTGACATGCAAGCAAATGAAAAATGATATAGAATTTTGTAATAGGAGCTTTATGTTGATGCATTTTGGCTTCAGAAATATTAGAAATGTATAAGCTATAAGGCCATTTTTATATGATAATAATGATTTTCAATGACTTGAAATTGTTCATAATTTATCAAATTTTTAAAAAATCTAGCAATAAAAGATAATTATTGCTCCTATTGTTGTATCTTCATTGCCATATGCTAGCATGAGTACTAAATTATTTTGCACATGCATCCGTTATTCATCATGTATTAGTAATCCTATTCTTATTTGTGATGGGGTGGCTTGCCATTGATGTGATGACTCTTTTTTTATACATGTTTTATTATGCTAAACAAAATTTTTTAAAACAAGCTCTTACAAAAACAATAACTTGTTGAAACTTGTTGAAAGCAGAAACACTAACAAAAATAGCTAAGTTATTAACAAGCTCTAAGCTAACAAATCAAATTTTTAAAAAATCCTTGATGCAATGAACAGTCCTTCAGTACATTGGCTTCACCTAGTTTCTTGTAAATCATGAGAGCTCTTTGTCTCTGATGATTTCCGACAAGGAGGTTAGATCATGTTTCTTTTTGAAGTACTTATGTGGATAGTGTTATTAATTGTTGGACCGATTGAGTATGACTCGGCGTAGTTTTTTTGCTTATTTTATTCACTCAATTATGATTTTGTTTTATGCGGTATTTCAAACAAGATTGTGTGAACTTATGAGGTAATTCTTTGGAATTTCTTGATTTGAATCATGCATAGTTGAAGGTTTTGTAGAAGTTAATGTGTGGTGTTTTTGACATGAATTTCCTGCAATTATCAACATGAGATTGCTGTGAACATTCAGGTTTTTTTTTTTTAAATTTGGACTATTGTCGCGGTTTTAACCGCCACAAGTGTCCAGTAATGTGCCGGTTTAAACTGCCACAAAAGTGAAAATAATTTTTTGTTTAGATTTTTGCGGCGGTTATAACCGATGCAAATCTGAAATAAAGCATCGGTTATAACCGTTGCTATAACTAGCACTTCCTTTGATCAACCCAGCGGCCCCAAAATCGTTGCGGAATGTCGTTGCAGCACACAACAATCACAGTAGTAAGGCAGCGGTTTTAAAACCGCTGCAAAGTAAAATGTAGGGGTTTTAACCGCTGGGAAAGGTAATAATTTGTGATGCGATAGCTCTATTTTTTTGTAGTAAATATAGAATAATGCCGATTTTAATTGCTACTACAGCTTTTTAAAACATTACTAGTAGAGACAGTTAAACCTATTGGAAAAAAACACCTATAACAACTGTTTTAAAACTGATATAACCAAGTGCTACGAAAATAACATATATTTTGGTAGTGTAAATGTCTCGATAAGAAAAATCAAACAATAGTAAAAGAGATCCAATTCAAGTCTAAATAAACTTACATCAATCACTCGAAGAATAATCAAAAGCTTCTGAACATTAATAATCAAATGATCTCCAAATTTGACTTGTTTATAATCAAATAGAGCATCTCGACAAGTCGAATTCAGTGAGCCTAAGATTGCATAATTCTGACAATTAAGTCACCTAAATGTTGAATGAAAACTCCATGATCAAACGAATCAATATGTCGTTTGATGGAGTGTTTCAAATTTCTCTATATTTACCAGATATGCAACTCTGAAAAAATCTACATATAGGCCCCACTCTCTATATAAAGAGGATTTGGGCCTGAGATTCAATAATAATAATAACAATAATAATAATAATAATAATAATAATAATAATAATAAAGGCTCTAAGAATCTCAGGGCTCCACTTAAGCACCACTTTTGAAACCATCTTTAACCTTTGTCATTAGACCACCACCTAACCAACATCGTCTCAATAATTCCTAACCAATACTATATATCAAACCGCTGATCATCTACCATTGTTAAAATTTGAAAAGTACATGTAGGATCTAGGAGAAAGATCTTGAGAGCTCATCTTGAGCTCTTCTTGCAAGAGAGAGAGAGAGAGAGAGAGAGAGAGAGAGAGAGAGAGAGAGAGAGAGGAGAGGGAATACACATATTCAAAATTTTCCCCAAATATATACAATATACAAGGCCTCTATTTATAGAGATTACATTATTGTGGTAATCGCAGGAACAACTTAACCTAAAACTAAATCAATATATAACAATCTCCACCTTGATTTAGTTTTACAAAAAATAAAGAACCACTCGTCACAAGAGCTCGAACTTGTTGCAAGTCAACTGATCGCCCTAGACACCCGTGCGCGCTCATACCTGCGTCTTCGCACGATCCACTTGTCCAATCTAGAGTTCTTGACAATCTTGCCTCACTACAGGAAAACCCCTTATATTTTGCGCCGGAAACGTTGACGCAAACTTTACGTCGAGCAAATCCGCCGGTAACTGCGCCGTTTATTACCGTCCAGAATTTTCCGCCGGAAAATCCGACGGTATTCGCGTGTTTTCCCGTAGTGCCTCCCCGAGGTTCTTAATGCTTCAACATGCTCCTATAATTCTCCACCTTGGTCGAAACTCCACCTGAATATGAATCTCTACATTCTCCCTCATTTAAGCCTGACAGAACAGCCCAAGGACAATAGGTTCTCCTCCACCTGTTTCTCCTCTAGCTTCGGACTCGCATCTTGATCAATCCAACCATTTTTTCTGCGACTTATGCCCGCGCCCTGAGCCTCCAGCTCTTCTCCTTCGCCTTGCACTCATATGGTATGACTTCGACCACATCCTGCGCGTATCCCCCCGCGCACCGAACCCTGCACCTTCACCTGCGCTCCGCTCTTCACAATCCCACACCCTGCACTGCTGCGTCCAGCCAGCTCCTTGCGTGTCATTCACCAATGTTCTGCGCTCCTATGCGACCTCCTCATGCACCGCACGACCTCTCATCTCCAAGTGCCCCGCACTCCCGGCACTGCTCCTCAAGAATAGGCCAACTCCACCTCATAGATCCAAACTGATCTTTCGTTACGATCTTGAACCGAAGCCTTCACTTCGCCTCTCATACTCGGACAAATTACCTTCCGCCCGCCAATCTGATCCGTGTCAAACAGCCAAAGCCGCAAAACCGGCTTTATGTCTTGCATTCAAAGCTCCTCAGTACTCAATTTCTTGAATTAAGAAGATGCAAAAGCCTCCAAAAATAAGTTTGACCTTCTTGGACAAATATGCCAGATCCTATTCCTCCACCCAACGAATGGCATACTTGGAATCCTTCTGTTTTGAACACCATAGGAGAAAACGCAAGAACAGAGCAGTTATAGCCTCCGTGAGAGCTGCAAGCTTCATCTGCTCTGTGAATGAACCTTTCTTATTCCTTGATCCAACGTCTGGTAAGGCTGTCGAGTCTAACCTCCTGCTTTTAGCTTCGGTTCGATCAGCCTAAGATAGCACCGAACCA